ATTCAGCAAATTTTTGAAAGCTTGTTCTTCACAGAATTGTTCGTTAGGTTGCCTGATGGTTTTCCAAATATGGTTTTTTTTTTTTGAAGTTTTTTAAAATATTATTTTTATTAAAATATTAAAATATTTTAAAATGAAAATAAAAACAAACCAATGAAAGGGTGAAAAAAAACCTAAAAGAAAGCAAAAGTGTAAGAAAAGAAAGTTAAAGAAAAATGGAAAAGGAAGAAATACAAAAAAGTAGTTTCCAATATTCTTCACAAAAGTTATAAGTATAATTATATTTAAGCTCTCTGTAGTTACATCATAATACTCATCTTTCTATAAATGATCTTGTTTAATCAAGCTTTAAATCACAAGTTCATTTTTTCATTTTTATGCAAAAAGTCCATAAGAGATTTTAAGTCACCAATAAATATAGACAGTGTCTTTTTTCTAATCAAAGAAGTTAATCTTGATATTCCCTTATGTGTTGAACAACCTATATAACATTAGTGATATTTTTTCTGCATTAGTGCTCCACTCCCATTGAAATTCACCTGCCTCCCTTACCAATATCACATCCTCTCCCTATGCCATAACTTCCCTATCTAATCTCCATACCCTCCAATCCCACTAGACCAGTGATGGCTAACCTTTTTGCCGTCGCGTGCCAAAAGCGGGGGGAGCATGGGGGGTTTGTGTGCATGCATATCCACACCCATAATTCAATGCACTCCGCCCCCTTGCACATACACATGTGACCCCTCCCCCTCGCACTCCTCCCGCTTTTGGCACGCAATGGCATGGTGGGCCCAGTAGGCCCGTTTTTCGCGAATGGCAAAAAAAACCCCACCCCCAGAGGCCCTCTGGAGGCCAGAAACAGCCCGTTTCCTGACTTCCGGTGGGCCCGGAAGGGCCGAAAATCAAGTGGCGGGAGCACGCATGCTTGCTGGAGTTGAGCTAGGGCAACGCTCGTGTGCCCACAGATACGGCTCCACGTGCCACAGCCATAGGTTCGCCATCACGGCACTAGACCAACATGAAGGAAATCATATAGGATCCTCTTTGGGATATAAAGTGGGAGGAGGGGAATGACCTACTGAGATTCCTTTTCACCCTCCCAGTCAATAAGCTCCCAATATTAATTTCAATAGTTCCTTAGCTATAGTTTAACCTACATTATTAGTTTTTTCCCTATTACTCCAACTCCCTCCTCTCCAGTGGTGAAATTCAATTTTTTTTACTACAGCTTCTGTGGGCGTGGCTTGGTGGGCATGGCTTGGTGGGCAGGGGAAGGATACTGCAAAATCCCCATTCCCTGCCCACTCCTGGGGGAAGGATATTGCAAAATCTCCATTCCCACCTCACTCTGGGACCAGCCAGAGGTGGTATTTGCCAGTTCTCTGAACTATTCAAAATTTCCGCTACTGGTTCTCCAGAACCTGTCAGAACCTGCTGGATTTCACCCCTGCTCCTCTCCTCTAAATCTAAAGGCTGAAAGAGAGTTAATGCAGTCAATATAATTTCCTTTGCTCAGAAATCTGATGCAGCATTCTTATCCTCATCTTGAAATTGAGCCTATTTTCCACAAATCAAAGAACAAATTAAATTCCTTAGCTCGCTCATATTTTACAAGAAGAGTCCTCCATTCCTCTAACCGCAATAAAATACCTTATGCCACCAGACTCCAAATTTTGGGCTTAGACAACTTAGAACTACACCAAATTCAGTCTGACCTAAGCATAGTACATAAAATTATCTGCCACAATTATCTGCCACAAAATTATCCTGTCAATGACTACGTCAGCTTCAACCACAATACACGAGCAAATAATAGATACAAACTCAAGGTAAACCGTTCCAAACTTGATTGCAGAAAATCAACAGAGTGGTGAATGCCTGGAATGCACTACCTGACTTTGTAGTTTTTTTCCTAAACCCCCAAAACTTTAACCTTAAACTGTCTACTGTTGACCTCACCCCATTCCTAAGAGGTCTGCAAAGGGTGTGCATAAGTGTACCAGTGTGCCTACCGTCCCTGTCCTAATATTCCTTTTTACTTACTCTCGTCATGTATTCAAATTATGTTTATACATTTACCTGTTATCTTATATATGCTTGACAAATAAACTTATGATTTATGACTCTTTGTTTAAGTCCAAACATACTGAAGATGAAGTAACTTTTCACCATTTTGACATGACGATAATTCTCTTAAAAGGAAATCATTGTAAAAGAATCTTGCCCTGTATAAGTTTTTTTGCCAGTGGCTTAAATTAATTTTTTCATTGCAGGACAGCCATGCAAAATCTGGGAAAGACCCTCTCTCATCCTCCCATTTAATCTCCTCCAGCTCCCATGATTTTCTTATAATTTTGTCGTATGAATTGGAAGAAATATCCATCTGGTTCGGTTCCAAGCTGGGAGAAAGACACTGGAAATATGGAGGCTGATTGGAAAGATGGTTTAATGATGAACAGAAGCACATGGGTGGTTTTGGTGCAGCTGACCAGGGGTGAAATCCAGCAGGTTCTGACAGGTTCTGGAGAATGGGTAGCGGAAATTTTGAGTAGTTCGGAGAACCGGCAAATACCACCTCTGGCTGGCCCCAGAGTGGGGTGGGAATGGAGATTTTGCAGTATTCTTCCCCTGGAGTGGAGTGGGAATGGAGATTTTGCAAAATCCTTCCCCCAGGAGTGAGGAGGGAATGGAGATTTTGCAGTATCCTTCCCCTGCCATGCCCACCAAGCCACACCACGCTCACCAAGCCACGCCCACAGGACCAGTAGTAAAAAGAAATTGGAATTCACCACTGCAGCTGACCACATGGAGTTGAGAGTGGGGAGTATTTATACCTTCCTGTTTCTGTGCAAGAACATGTATTCTATTGGCTGTTGTCAGACTCCATTGGTGCCATGTACAAATCCTAGGAGTTTGTCAGAAGTAAGCTTGGTTGAAGTTTGGTCGATGCAATGAAGGGGCTTGTTGAGCACTTCCTATTGTGGCTGAATGGCTTTGCCCTGAAGAATAATCCCAACATCCTGGAGCTGAAGGTCTTTTGTTTTGTAGATAGGCTGACCCAGTCTTTCCTAATGGGCACAAAATATCTTCTGGGGTATATTAAGAAAGTGGGGGTTGCTTTAAAAAAACATGTTTCTCCATTTCTCCCTTTGGGAAATATAATCTTCTTTATATTTCTCAAAATATTTAATTCTTCTAGGAGAGTGCTGGGTGCTAACTTTCTACAGTTTGAATCAACAAACTGGACAAAATATATCTAGGTTTCAGCGTATTCGTAGGGGGGTTAACCTGTGATCACATTCAATGACTTTATTGCCTTCAAATCAGCACTCAGATCTTTAATCGTAGAAATAAGGTTTTAAAAAATCCAATGGATTATGTCAATTTCCTCTAATGCTACTTTAATCCTTAAATTGTTTCTCCTATCGTGATCCCATACACAGGCTCTGCCAAACCCAGCTTTAATTTTAGAGAGATTCTTTTAAGGCTTGCTTATCTCTAGAACATTGTCTGTGGCCTATATATTATTACATATAATCTGTAGAGAAGTACCATAAGCTTTGCTGACTATTTGCTGTGACCTTTATTCATTTGCTCAGACCAGCAAAGTCTTTTCATTTATTTCCCCCAGCATGTTTAATCCCCTTCCGTCTTCAGTTCTTTTTCAAGTTGTTTTATTGGCAGCCGAATTAAGTCCATCTTAGGTGTCTGTCTCCGCTTGCGGGCAGCATTTTTTTTTTCATTTTTCTTTCTTCCCTCCATGGTTACCTTCCTCCTTCCTCAAACTTTCTTCCAAATAAACTTGGATCCTCTTTCTCTTAACATCTGACTTAATTTACTTTCCCCATTCTAAATTAAATAACCAGCCAAGTAAACTGGTGTGAATTAAAGAAAGTAGCTGGCGATAGGAGTGTGTGTGTGTGTGTGTGTGTGTGTGTGTGTATGCATCATTTTGACTTTGTTTATTTTGTCATGTTTATGTAGAGCATCTTGGAGGTGGCGCCCCTTTAAGAGGTGTACGTCACAAAATTTCATTTTACTGTATGCCCGATTAGCATCCATTCAAAATGACAAAGTTATTCTAAATCTAAGTCTAAATCTGGAGGGAGGACCGGATAGCACAACGCGCCATCTTCTTCACTGCCTAGCCACGCCCCCGGGTCAGGGTCAATCCCACTTGTGGGTCCATTCAGACGCTCTTTGAACCAGGGGTGAAATGCTCCTGGTTCGGACCGGATCACCCGATCCGGTAGCAATGGCGGCGGGTGGTTCGGAGAACCCGTAGCAAAAATCCCTGCCCCCCCCCCATGCCCAGCTGAGCCACACGATCATCAGAGGCTTTTTTTTTTAACTTTTAAAAGCATTTTTTCTACAACCTCTTCCAACGAAAAAATGCTTTTAAAAGTAAAAGAAAAAGAGCCTCTGATGATGGCACGACTCAGCTGGGATCGTCAGAGGCTTTTCAAAGCATTTTTTTCTGCAACCTCTTGGCTGAAGAGGTGGTTAAAAAAAATGCTTTGCAAAGTCTCTGACGATCCCAGCTGAGTTGCCTGATGGGCAGAGAGGTATTTTTTAAAAAGCATCTCTGACCATCCCAGCTGAGTTGCCTGATCCACAGAGGCTTTTCAAAACATTAGAAAAAAAAAAGTAAAAAAAAAAAAAGTTGGCCACGCCCACCGTCACATTAAACCCCTCCCACCAAGCCACACCCACAGAACCGGTAGTAACAAATTTTACATTTCACCCCTCCTTTGAACTAGTGGTCCCTCAAAGGAGACGAACCGGGACTTAAGTTCCCCAGTCTGGGTGGGAAGCCGAGAGACCAGCCTCAACCACGCACGGTCTCAAGGCAGCCGAGGTCTAGCCAGAGCCGAGAGGGGCCCGAGGGACCGCGGTACCTGCTGACCCCGCCTCCGCCCCCGCCCCGGGTGGTGGAAAAGCGAAGCGCGCCGGCCCCAGCCAATCCCGGCTCCTTTTGGATATGCAAATGAGCTCCTTTTTCCCAGGGGCGAGGCTGAATCGCCGATATTTCCAGGGAGGCCGAGCGAAGGCTGGAGTGGGGGGGGGAAAGAGACGCAGATGCGGGAACGTCCGCTGCTAAGTAGCCCTGGATCCACCGGCACCGCGCGGTCGAAGCCGGGCCGGAGCGCTTTGCTTAGCAACCGGCTGAGGAAAAAATAATAAAAATAAAAAGGCGGCGAGGTTTTGGCGCGGCGGCTGAAGAGAAAAAAGCCTGGTGGGCTGAATGCATCGCTTGGGCGTCCGCGGAAGGACCCACCGCCGCTCCGGGCTTTAGGTCCGGTCTCTTACTCCGGGCTTGTGGGCCGTCCCCGGGAGACTATGCGGTCTGGGAAGCCTCCTTACATCTTCGCCGTCTTCGTGCTGAGCGGTCTCTCGGCGCTGCTGCTCCTGTTCCTCGGGCAACCTCCCCCGGACTCCAAACAGACGCCGCCGGCTGGGTTACCCCGCCTGCCTCAGCTCCGGGAGAGCGAGTTCCTCCGGCGCGCCTGTAGGGCTCTGGCTCAGGGGCAGCATACCTTCGTTTGGGGAAACTATCTGCGGACGTCGTTGAACAGAGCCGCCTCCTGCGAAGATTACGTGACGGGGAGCCACTATGTGACCAGACCCGTCACTGCCGAAGAGGCCGCCTTTCCCTTGGCCTACATCTTCACCCTCCACAAAGAGCTGGCCACCTTCGAGCGGCTCTTCAGGGCTATTTACGCGCCCCACAATGTCTACTGCGTCCACGTGGATGAGAAAGTGCCCGCCAGTTACAAGCAAGAGGTGGAGAAAGTGCTGGAGTGCTTCCCCAATGCCTTCCTGGTCTCCAAAGCGGAGCCTGTGGTTTACGCTGGCATCTCCAGGCTTCAGGCTGATTTGAACTGCATGAAAGACCTGCTGAGATCCCCCACCCAGTGGAAATACGTCCTCAACATGTGTGGGCAAGATTTCCCCCTGAAAACCAACAAGGAGATTGTCCAGCACCTGAAAAAGTTTAAAGGGAAGAACCTCACCCCTGGCATCCTCCCCCCACCTTCCATAACTTTAAGGACCAAATTTGTTTACAAGGAGCACATAGGCAAGCAAGCTTCCTACATGAGAAGGACTGAGATCCTAAAATCGCCACCTCCCCACAACCTCACTATCTACTTTGGGTCTGCCTATATTGCTCTCACTAGGCCTTTTGTGGAGTTCCTTTTCAATGACTCAAGGGCCATTGATTTGCTGCAATGGTCCAAAGACACTTACAGCCCCGACGAACACTTTTGGGTAACACTCAATCGGATTCCAGGTAGATATTAATCTCTGGCTCTTTCGTTTCTAAGTAGTAATTGTATTAAACATGACAATTGAAAAGATAAAAACTAGTGCAAATTGGGGGGGGGAATAGAAAGTGCAGGAAAAAAAAGAGAAAAAGACTATAGCAAAGGGGGTGGAAATGACTTTCCCTTTCTTCACAAATAGTATAAATAATTTTAGTAGTTTACCACCTTCTCTTAAAATACAGTATATATCTTCTTCCCTTATCTATAAACAAATAATTAAAGCTGCATCAGTCAGTCGTAATCAGCAAAAGTCCATTAAGGGCTATCCGAGATATGTCTATTTTGACCTTGATCAAATCAATCAATTTTATATAAATTTTTTATATAAATTTTTTTTTAATAATCTTGAACTTTAATCCCTTCAAATAATCCCTTCAAATGCCCTAGAACTTGATTTCTTTTCATTTCTTCTTTGTTCCTTCTCACAAAATTCTGCCAAAGTAACCACACTTGTAAATCCAATATAGCTAAATTATCTAGCTCGCTAGATAATTTGTTTTGTTATGTGTACATAGCAATAGCAATAGACTTAGATACTGCTTCCCAGTGCTTTTACAGCCCTCTCTAAGCAGTTTACAGAGTCAGCATATTGCCACTAAGAATCTGGGTGCTCATTTTTCCCACCTCGGAAGGATGGAAGGCTGAGTCAACCTTGCATCCGTTTTAATTATTAAGGATCAACAAGTTTCATCTACATAGCATTTTTTGTCATATCATTTTTGTAGCCTGTCATTTTAAAATCCACTTTCAGGTCAGCTTCAGTCTTGTCTGGTAAAACTTGTTCCTTTTCCATGACATCTTTTAAACACAGTCTGCCTAAAAAGGCAGACACTCCTCACATTAATTTATGGGTCCATTATTCAAAAATATCTGACTCTTTCACTTTTCAACAGCAAGGGCCAAACCTTAGTTGGCTAGCAGATGACAAGGTCTGAAATATTCAGAGATAACTGGAACATATGTTTGACATCCTGAGAAGCAGTTATTAGTTGATGACAGCAATGCTAAACCAGCTGAGATTTGATTTCTAAACTGGCATTGATAGTTTTTTAAAGTGGGGTTGGTAAGGCTGGCTGGCTGGTTGACAGAGTGATTTTTTTCTTTTTGATCCACAGTCCAAGTGGAAGTTGTTTTGGTTACTGCTCCCCCAAAACACAGACAACTATTCTGCAAAATCTTGCAATTGTATGATTGTATTCCCCCAACCCCCAGGGATTTATTCCCCATTTATTCACAGCCATGAACCCAACAAAAACAAGAAATAATTATCTGGATACAGATCAAATGATTAGTTACTTCGTAACAAATTCTACCCTAATAAATAATCGCAAGAAATATTTTGTTTCAAAACATACCTAGAGAAATGTAGTGGAATTTGTTTGAAAGCTCTTTGTTAAAATGCCCTTAATCTTATGAATTATGGGCTTAATCCTATGAATTGGTAAACCTATTTCAATTTTTAAAGGTCAATGGAAAGTAAGCCACAGAGTTTCCAAAGCATCTGTCAAAGGACTAGGCAATTAATTCAGGCATTCAGCTTTAAGGTTACCAACGTGGTTGCCAGTGTGAAAAGAATTCTTCAGGGAGTTAAAGAATCTCAAAATCATAGAATTGAAGGAGGTCAAAAGGACAGGTGATTTTCCAGACTTTTTAAAACCACTGCAATATCTGTGGAGGTAAATTATTTCACTGTTGGACAGATTTCACCATCAGGAAGCTTTTACTTATGTTGAAACAAAATCTAGGTACAGTCATTGCATACATACCCATCCAGGATCCTGATCCTGGTTTCTGTGGCAATAGAAAATACTTTCTGATCACTTTTGCACCATCTTTCCTCATTCCTCTTTTGTCCAAAGTCAACATTTCCAGTTCCTATAGTTTATCTTAGTATAGCACATTCTCAAATCCATTTTTCATCATTGTCACCCTCTCCTGCACCTGTTTTATGCTATCAATGGCCATCTGGAAATCTGATGCCCAGAATCATCCACAGTAATGATGCTCTGAATCAAGCTAACAGAGAGTGTGATAGCAAAAGAGAAAACTCATAAAAATCTATGTGTGAGAGAGTGAAATGGATAATGTTAGTATACTTGGAATGAGTATCATTGGGTTTCAGACATAAGCACAGAAGAAGCAACATGATTAAGCATGTAGGTCTCTTCAATTTGGAAAATCATTAAGAACAAACCATTTAGAATTCTTGCCTTTTTTATAGGTTTTGCCAAAATATCTATGTAGGAAAAGGATTCTGGGCCATTATAAATTGGTGGATAAAAGGGTGTTTTTTAGGCTCAAATCCCGCTGGTTTTCTCTTATGATGCAAGACAGGTCCAATAAAACTTGATGTGCTAAGAAATGATGCCTCATCATCTGAAACTTGAGGTGATTCAATAAATTTGACTATGAACAGGAGGAGGAACAAAGATAAAATTTTCCACCCTCAAATACTTATTTAGCTTGTTGATTTGTCATAAGATACAGTCAGTGCTACTGGTTTAGGAAAGTTAGTTAAATAAACTGAGTCTCCTTTAACATGAGAATTGAATTTTAAAACAAGAATAATATCTCACCTTTGTATGTAAACTCAGTGGATTGTAGAATTGAGCCAATATGTATTAGAACAAGACACAAGAGTCTTATTTTCAAATGGAGGAAAAAAAAAATCTACCTCCGTTTCATCCCTTAAAAATAGTGTTCTCCCACATCAGAGGTCTCCAAACATTTGGACTAATGGACAAACTGGAATTTCAAGGAAGTATTAACTTACTGCAAATCAGTAAGATTAATAATGTCACAAATTGTTCTGTGGCTCTTTTAACCACATAGGTTTGCCTTATTGCTCTTGGCAATCAAAAAGTTTTTGACATGAAGACAGGTTTGAAATTAGTGTTTTGGCCATGATACACTTCGCAGATCAAAAGCTTTATAAAAAAATGATGCTAAGAGATAATATAAGGACAATGTAAAGAAATACAATATTGGTACAGGTAGTCCTCGACTTACAACAGTTCATTTAGTGACCGTTCGAAGTTACAACGGCACAGAAAGAAGTGGCTTTTCACCATTTTTCACACTTAAACCGTTGCAGCATCTGAGGATCACGTGATTAAAATTCAGGCACTTGGCAATTGGTTCATATTTATGACGGTTGCAGTGTCCTGGGGTCATGTGATCACCTTTTACAACATCTGACAAGCGAAGTCAATGGGAAAGCCAGATTCACTTAACAACTATGTTACTAACTTAACAACTGCATTGATTCACTTAACAACTGCAGCAAAAATGGTCATAAAATGGGGCAACATTCACTTAACAAATGTCTCACTTAACAACCGAAATTTTGGGTTCCGTAGTGCTTATAAACTGAGGATTACCTGTACTTACTTTTGCCAGAATCCAGAAGTTACAGCCAGCACACAGCAGACTTGATGAAATAGATGCTGTCTAGTACTAATGAGAGAAAGCAATTTCCCATTTCAGTACACAAGAGAAATAGTTAGTAAAGTTATATGTTTAGTTAAATACAGAAATATAGGATGGCAGCATGCAACAATCCTTTTTCCTCCTCTGAACTCATGCTTTTTAGGTGTAACAGTAACAGAGTTGGAAAGGGCCTTGGAGGTCATCTAGTCCAACCCCCTGCTCACACAGGAGACCTGTACTAGGGATTCGAACCGCAGAACTGCCGACCTTTCTGATTGACAAGCTCAGTGTCTTAGCCACCGAGCCATCTAGTCATATCTTGGTCAGATATTAGTCAAGATGTGCTTGACTAATATTCTCATCTGTCTCATAATTATGGGGAACGCAAGTTGGAATCCAGGACACCATGACAGGCATTCCAGCAAGTAAATTCAGTCTTTGCCTAAGGATATGCCACTTTTCTTATGTGCCACCATCACTTGCTGTGTTATATCCAAGCCATGCAAGAAACTAACCTTATAAAATTGGAGCCTGCCTAGAGGCTACCTCAAGAACAGAAATATTGCAAAGCATAGATACTTTTTATTGAGTAAAAAGAATGCCCTGCCTATCTTTTAGATAACCTTTTGGTTAAAAAAACAACAACAACCAACATCTTTTCTTCTTGAGATCTGGGCTGGCCGGACAGACAGGTCAGGTTTCTTCAGAGCTTCTACTTTATTCTTTTTCACTGCTCTGGGGCAATTTCACAGATTGCAAAAGTAAAATTAGCGCCCAAAGGGAGAAGTGACTCCTATTGTCACTAAACCTTCCGATGAGATATTTCCATGCAACTGAACATTCATCATAGCATTTCAGCAGGTGAAACTGTTGACGAAAAGCCAACTCTGCAGCAAGAGAAAAGGTAAAAGAATCTTAATGATAACCTTTTGCTTGTTGATTGTTTCAGTAAAACTCCTGAGGCTGAGGCATGGAGAAGTTAGCTACCGGTACTTGAAAATTGGGTTTTATGGGCAAGAGTTTTAAAGGAAGTTGCTTGAGGGAGTGTCGTTTTGTGGAAACCCTATAATTTGCTGAGACTCAAGAACTTCCACTCTCCCATGCTTATATCACTCAATTTCAACCATTTGGACTAATGAGGGAGAGTTAGTTCCAGCCATTTGTTTTCATATATATATATATAATTTTATATATATATATAAAATGGACTATATAAAATCCATAAATTGATTTTCAGGTTATTTGAGAAAATAGATATATGCTTTTGTTTGCTTCTCTACCTCATTTTTAACTAGAATTAAGTCTGATTTTTTTTTTTCATTTGTTTTGAAGAATTGTTGCATTACTTAACTCTACCTAACTTAGTCAAATGAAAAAAAAAAGGCAGAAAAAGGATTGACGTATTTGGGATTTTCCCTGAAACATTTTTTCATACATCTTCTGTTCCACTGCTGTTCTGATATATTCTGCACTGATTTAGAAAGCTACTCCTGCTTAACATTCAGCTGTGATTAAGGAAGCCCATTTTCTTTCACTG